CACTTTGTGAAAAATTGCTAGAGAGATCTAGGAGGAAGAAATTTAGGTACCCATTGGAAAATACAAATAGGTTCTGGCTGTTCCCCAATTTATTAGCAGTTTTAAGTCTGTTTAAAAGTCCATTTGCTTTATAGGCTGTCTAATCTTTGTCTGAAAAGCGGGCTAGGGGAATGCTTTCAGTTCGTGCTTCTTAGTTCGATCAAATATATGAGACCAAATAGGCAACTCCTGTCCAAGGGCAAGATGAGACCGCAGGAGGGGAGAGCAACTGGATGAACAGACACAGGGAAGGCTGGGTGGAAAGGAGGAGTATGCTGTCACATTGTTGGGATTGCAACCAATGTCACAAAACAATATGTGTATAAATTTTTGAGTGAGAAATTAACTTAAGCTGTAAGTTTTCACCTAAAGCACACACACACACACCCCACACACAAAGCTTAAATTAAAAAAAAAAAGAGATAAAGTCTATTTGCATTCTGTTCTCTCTGCCACGAAAGCTCTCGACTCCCAACTTCCTTCCATTACTTCTGGTAAATTCATATTCATACATTAAAATACAGCTTAAACAGCACGATCATTCCCCCTCTCCAAATTTCAGCATTTCCTACTTTGTGTTAACCCACTGTACAGTCTTCAGTTATGAAGCTGTACTGTAATTTGTTTAGTTTCTCTTCCATCACAGAGGTTGTCGTATTCACCTTTGCATCCTGGCTTTCAGCCCATTGCCAAGCACAAAGTATGACTACATATTTTTCTTTAATTAACGAATTAAATAATTAACCAAATAATTACATTTTCCACTACCTCTGGTTTTAATCATAGAAGACGTCTTGATGGAAATCACATTTAAGAAAATGGGAAAATAAATAATTTCATAACAACATGTTGGCCTGTCTTTCACCTTTGAGAAAACATGACAGTTGGGCTGGTGCAGAAAAAACAAAATGAGTTGCTTTACCATAATTAATAAATGCAAGACAGAGTAAGTACCTTGCATCACAAAGCAATTCATATTCCCACAAAAAAGCACATAAAATAATTTTTCAAAGCAGGGTAAATTGCTCAGAATAATTTCAGCTTTTAACATTCCCCTTGAGAACAGGAACAAGACAATGATGTCCTCTATCACCACTCCTATTTAACATTGTGCTGGCAGTCCTAGCTAGAACAATAAAGGCAAGAAAAAGAAACAGCAAGCATCTGAATTGGTAATGAAGAAGTTAAACTGTCCCTGTTTGCGATGATATAATACTATACACAGAAAACCCAAAGGACTCCACGAGAAGACTACTGAAACTAATAGATTCAGCAGAGTAGCAGGATATAAGATAAACATACAAAAATCAGTTGGATTCTTATACACCAATAAAGAGAATGATGAAAAGGAAATCAGGAAAACAATACCATTTACAATAGCCCCTAAAAAAAAAATACTTAAGAATAAATCTAACTAGGGATGTGAAAGACCTATACAAAAAAAGCTACAAAACACTACTGCAAGAAAGCAAAAGAGATCTACATATATGGAGAAACATACCATTCTCATGGATAGGTAGACTCAACACTGTGAAAGTGACAATTCTACCCAAAGCAATTTACAAATACAAGGCAATCCCAATCCAAATACCAACAACATTCTTTAAAGAGATGGAAAAACTAATCATTAACTTTATATGAAAGGGAAGAAGACCTGGATAAGTAAAGCAGTATTGAAGAAGAAGGATAAAGTAGGAGGACTCGCACTACCTGACCTCAGAACCCACTATACTGCTACGGCAGTCAAAACAGCCCGGTACTGGTACAACGACAGATACACTGACCAATGGAACAGAATCGAGAACCTAGATGTAAATTCATCCACCTATGGTCACCTGATCTTCGACAAGGGCCCCAAGTCCATCAGAGGGGTAACAGACAGTCTTTTTAACAAATGGTGCCGGCAAAACTGGATGTCCATCTGCAAAAACATGAAACAGGAACCATATCCACATAATATACAAAAACTAACTCAAAATGTGTCAAAGGCTTAAATATAAAGCCAAAAACTATAAAGTTCACAGAAGAAAAAATAGGACCAATGCTAGAGGCCCTAATATACGGCATTAACAGGATACAAACCATAATCAACAACACACAAACTCTAGAAGATAAGCCAGATAACTGGGATCTTCTAAAAATTAAATACTTATGCTCATCAAAAGACTTCACCAAAAGAGTAAAAAGAGAACCTACGGACTGGAGAAAATTTTTGGATAATACAAATCAGACAAAGGTCTAATCTCTAAAAATCTACAAGAAAATCCAACACCTCTACAACAAAAAGACAAATAATCCAATTTAAAAACGGGCAAAGGAAACAAACAGACATTTCACCAAAGACATTCAAGTGGCCAACAGATACATGAGGAAATGCTCACGATCACTAGCCATTAGAGAAATGCAAATCAAAACCACAATAAGATACCATCTTACACCAGCATTACTGGCACATATCAAAAAAACTGGAAATAACAAATGTTGCAGAGGCTGTGGGGAGATCAGAACTCTTACGCACTGCTGGTGGGAATGCAAAATGATACAACCATTTCGGAAAACGATATAACACCTCCTTAGAAAGCTACAAATAGAAATACCATACGTCATGGTTTGAATTATGTCCCCCCAAAAATGTGTGTATCAATTTGGCCTGGCCGTGATTCCTGGTATTGTGTGGTTTTCCTATATGTTGTAAATCCTGCCTCTATGATGTTAATGAGGGAGGATGGGTGGCAGTCATGTTAGTAAGGCAGGACTCAGTCTATAAGATTGGATTGTATCCTGAGGCAATGTCTTGAGATATAAAAGACAGAAGTGAGAAGAGAGACAGGGGGGCCTCATACCACCAAGAAAGCAGTGCCAGGAGCAGAGCGCGTCCTTTGGACTGGGGTCCCTGCACAGAGAAGCTCCTAGTCCAGGGGAACACCAAAGAGAAGAAGGCCGACAGAGAGAAAAAGCCTTCCTCTGGAGCTGATGCCCTGAATTTGAACTTTTAGCCTACTTTGACTGTGAGGAAATAAATTTCTCTTCGTTAAAACCATCCACTTGTGGTATTTCTGTTATGGCAGCACTAGATGACTAAGACACCATACGATCCAGCAATCCCACTGCTAGGAATATATCCTAGAGAAATAAGAGCCGTCACATGAATACACATATGCACACCCATGTTCATTGCAGCATTGTTCACAACAGCAAAAAGAAACAACCTAGATGTCCATCAACAGATGAATGGATAAACAAACTATGGTACATACACACAATGGAATATTATGCAACGATAAAGAAAAATGACGTATCTTCAAAGCATCTCATAACATAGATGAAACTGGAGGACATTATGCTGAGTAAAATAAGTCAATCACAAAAGGACAAATACTGTAGGAGACCACTACTGTAAAAACTCATGAAAAGGTTTACACACAAAAAGAAACAATCTTTGATGGTTACAAGGGATGGGAAGGGTGGGAGGGGGAATACTAAATAGACAATAGATAAGTGGTAACTTTGCTGAAGGGTAAGACAGTACACAATACTGGGGAAGCCAGCACAACTTGTACAAGAAAAGTTCATGGAAGCTCCATAGACACATCCCAAACTTCCAGAGGGACTGAACTGCTGGGCAGATGGCTGTGGGGACCATGGTCTCGGGGAACATCTAGCTCAATTGGCATACACAGTTTATAAAAAAAATGTTCTATATTCCACCTTGGTGAGTAGCGTCTGGGGTCTTAAAAGCCTGTGAGCAGCCATCTAAGATACTCCACTGGTTTCAAACCTTCGAGAACATGGGAGAATGAAGAAAACGAGATACGAGGGAAAGATCTGTCCAAAGGACTAATGAACCACAACTACCATGGCCTCCACCAGACTGAGTCCAGTACAACTAGATGGTGCCCGGCTACCACCACAGACTGCTCTGACACAGATCACAGCAGAGGGTCCCGGGCAAAGCTGGAGAAAAATATAGAACAAAATTCTAACTCACAAAAAAAGACCAGACTTACTGGTCTGACAAGAGACTGGAGAAACCCCGAGAGTATGGCCCCCGGACACCGTTTTAGCTCAGTAATGAAGTCACTCCCGAGGTTTACCCTTCAGTCAAAGATTAGACAACCTCATAAAACAAAACGAGACTAATGGGGCACGACAGTCCAGGGACAACGACTAGAAGGCAGAAGGGGACAGGAAAGCTGGTAATAGGGAACCCAAAGTCGAGAAGGGAGAGTGTTGACATGTTGTGGAATTATTAACCAATGTCATAAAACAATATGCGTACTGTTTAATGAGAAACTATTTGCTCTGTAAACCTTCATCTAAAGTACAATAAAAAAATTTTTTTAAAAGAATAATTTCAGCTTTTAATTAACTGCTCAGGAGGCATAAATACACACTGGTGTATTGTATGCCCCCAAATTGCAATAAGAAGGCAATTTAATGGGAACGTTTATCATTACTGAAAGTTAGCAGGTTGGGATCAACTTTTAAGTTTAGCAACAGCGCGATATTAGGATACCAGGTGACCTTCACTGGCCATCCCTCGTTAGCAGAAACTGGTTTGGGATTCCCACTTGCCCGCCGAACCTGGGACCGGAAGGCCACTGATCAGGAGAGGGCCAACCCTCCCCGGGGTATGGGTTACCAACCCCCTCCCCTCTAAAATATGACGGGCTCTTATTCCACCATTTAACTCTGGTGAAGCAGAATCAATGCTCTTCCCTTCACCTGGCTCCCCCACTTTTCTTGCTCACCATGACGCGGCAAGCAACGACCTTCGCAGCCAGCAAAAATCGAAGCTCGGAGCCGGGTGGACAAACGCTCCCTAGTTGCCATGACGACAGGCCCCGCCCACTTGCTCCCCGACTAAGAGCGCGAATCCTCCCTCGCCAGTCGGCGCAGTCGCGCTGGTTTTTTTCCTGTCGGTGCCCCGCCCCCTCCCCTGATACACCTCCCCCACCCCTCGGCTGGCTTTGAGCTTGACCGACCGGGGAGTCGGAGGGGGGTCCGACGCCTTTACGGCTGTGGCGGTGACTGCCGGAAAGTGCGTGAGTGCTGCAGCCCTAGCGTTTTGTTTTGTTTTCTGGATTCTGGGGTCTGGAGATGGTGGATTGTGTTTTGGATGAGGACTTAACGGGTGTGGAAAGAGGTGTCAGAGCGTATTCTGACGTTGACAGCCTCTGTTCCTGTTTATTTTCCTAGGCTGTGTTGGGGCGGATCTTTCTGTGGGGATTTCGGAAGGAAAGGAGCTGGTTTGGAGATTGGGTCAGATGACTGACCCCTGGGTAGGCAGCCTGATCATCAGAGTTTAGGTCAGAATGGGAGGGGACTTATCTCTCTTTACTTTCAACTGGCAATTTAGATAAACAGGTAAATAAATTGACTCAAGAGCTTGGTTATTTTGAGATTAATGACCTTGACATTATTCTCTCTACACATGGGACTCTACTTTCTGTGCAAGTTACAGGTCCTTTTTCACAGGAGCCTAACTAGATAAGAATTGGAAGTGATTTGAAGCAATTCCTAGGTAAAATATTGCTAATAGATGAAAATGCTGAGGCCCAGCAAGCCTCATTATTTTGCCCAAGGTCACAGACTAATTGTACTAACCAACAGCACAACCTTCCGGATTTCAGGCTCCTCCCCGCGTGAAGACACACTGGCACCTTAAACCAACGAGAAAACTAAAAGAAACTAAGTGAGGTGGTTCTTTATCCAAAGCCCAGATGAATTCTCTGTGAGTCTAGGACCTGTGCCCTGTTTTAGCATGACAAGCTTTATAGGATTGAGTGAAGTCTACCAGAACGCAACTGATAATTACATTGTACTGCGTTTCTTTGCAAGTTTACCTTCAACTTTTACTGCCATCTGAACAACAGCTTTGAGCACCATACCCATTGCCGCGGAGCTGATTCCGACTCCTACAGGACAGAGTAGAACTGCCTCATAGGGTTTCTAAGGCTGTAATCTTTACGTAAGCAGACTGCTGTATCTTTCCCCGCTGAGCGGCTGGTGCGTTGGAACCCGCCACCCTTTCGGTTAACAGCGGAGCACTTATTAACTGCTGCGTGCGCCTTGGGCACCGTAGCCTCTAGTAAAAATGACAATTCTCAATGAGTCCTGAACTGGAATTGGTTAAGTCTCAACTCCTTAGCCCAGAGTCTCTGGAAAAAAAGCTATCAGTGGGGATTGCCTCCCTCCGTCCCTCCCTCCTACGACATACACATCCAAGTTCTCAGAATGATGGGGAACGTCTCTTAAGTTCTTGACTGGTTTGGCTCGTTACCAACAGCAGTAGCTTCCCTACTTCATGCAGGGTTAAGGAGCAGCCCCAGGTCACTGCTGCACTTAAATTGTTCCCTACACTGTGAACCCAAGGAGACCTGACTCTGTTTCTCCCGATGGCTAAAAAACCCCTAAATGCCCGAAGATCAGTTGTACAATAATAAACTGCCTTAATTAATGTAAATTAGTATTTAAAAAACTGGAAATTTAAAAAATTTACCTTAGGCATACTTGCTACTTTTTTGCTAGTTGTTGTTGCTAGTTATGGTAGAGTGCAACTCGTGGCAACCCCGTGTGTGTGCACAATAGAACTGCTCTATAGGATTTTTAAGGCTGTAACCTTTCAGGAGCAGATCACCAGACCTGTCTTCTGAGGCGCCTCTGGGTGGGTTCGAACACCAACCTTTTGGCTAGGCAAATCCGTTGATATGCATAATTTGTAAAGAAGACAATTGAAGCTGGGTCCCTATAAAGCTTTCACAAATTCCTAGATATGAATTAAATGAAGCTGCCCTATTTGCCAGGAATTAAAGAATTTATAGTTTATAATCTGCAATCACATCTGGAGATTTAAAATTTAATTTAGAATTCTTTTAAAAGCACATGGTCTTAAGAGTCATTCTTTAATAAAATTATATCACACTGGAAATGGCTGTCAGCAAAAAAAAAGTTTAAAAAATGAAATCAGATGCCAACATAGATTAATTGTACCTCTCTAATTTCATTGTCTTCCAAAACTAATTCTTCAGTAAAGGAACATAAAAATAAATGGGGAAGATAGGAGAGGAAATGGCAGCAATAAAACTTTGGAAGCTGGAAAACACATGAAGGAATGTGACTTCACACACTGGGAAAGCCCGATTTATACTGCAGAATTGTCAGAAAGGTACCAGAATAGGGTCTCTTGAACTGGGAATGAAGAATGAAATAGAGGTGACTGCTCCTGTCCCTTCCAAAAAAGACTGGAGGTTTTTTCTTTTTTTTGACATTTCAATTGTAATTTTATTTATTTTTTTATTATTGTACTTTAGATGAAGGCTTACAGAACAAACTAGCTTCTCATTAAACAGTTAGTACACATACTGTTTTGTGACATTGGTTACCAACCCCACAACTTGTCAACACTCTCCCTTCTTGACCTTGGGTTCCCTATTACCAGCTTTCCTGTCCTCTCCTGCCTTCTAGTCCTTGCCCCTGGGCTGGTGTGCCCTTTTAGTCTCATTTTATTTTATGGGCCTCAAAAGACTGGAGGTTTATTTCTGGACAAAGTAAAACTAGTCTCTGGACTGGAGTTTCCTCAGGCATATTAAGTACCTGAGAACCACACTGAAAATGGGAATTAAGCAAATTTAGGTATACATAATGCTGAGTGCAAGGCTGCTGTTTCTTTTCCACTTTTTAATGTTTAACAGGCAAACCGTCAGAAGATTGGAAAACTCTTCTCTGGGACATCTTTCTGAGGAAAGATCCAAGATACTGACACCAGAGCTTCCCCCAGTAAAGGGCCCATTCAGATGTAGGCCCAACTGAAGCACAAAGTCTACAAGCTTCAACCATGTATGCAGACCTTCTAAACAGCTTTTTTTTTTTCTGTCCCTTCACTCTTAAGAGAGGACAGAAAAGAATTACCAAACTTTGGAGAAAATCTCAAAATATAGACGAAAACAAGCAGAAGAAAAAGCTATTTGGAGGAAGACAGCAGAAAATTTCAAGAAAGCTATTAATGAACTCAGAAAAAAAAATTTGTTCTGCTACATTGTATGTTTGTTATGTGAAAATTAGCTCATAAGCTACTGATAGGGAAAATATACAAGTATTAACATGGAGGTAATGTTGGATCTTATGTGATTTTTTTTTTTTTTTTTCCCTAAGAAAGAGGAGCCAGAAAGGCAGATTTATACACTTCAGCAAGAAAGGCAAAGCTCTTGCTTAGCTGCTGTGCTAGCAGCCAAAGATAGTGCCCTTTCCTTACTAGACTCTTGCTGCTCAGTATGTTAAAACTAAATATACTGTTTAGGGCAACTGTCTTAGTTATCTAGTGCTGCTATAACAGAAATACCACAAGTGGATGGTGTCATGGTTTGAATTACGTCCCCCCAAAAAATGTGTGTACCAGTTTGGCTAGGCCATGATTCCTGGTACTATGTGATTTTCCTGTATGTTGTAAACCTGCCTCTATGATGTTAAGGAGGGAGGATGGGTGGCAGTTGTGTTAGTAAGGCAGGACCTGATCTACAAGACTGGACTGTGTCCTGAGGCAATCTCTTGAGATATAAAAGACAGAAGTAAGCAGTGAGACGGGGGGGACCTCATACCATCAAGAAAGCAGTGCCGGGAGCAGAGCACGTCCTTTGGACCGGGTCCCTGCACAGAGAAGCTCCTAGTCAGGGGGAACACTAAAGAGAGGAAAAAGCCTTCCCCTGGAGCTGACACCCTGAATTTGGACTTTTAGCCTACTTTGACTATGAGGAAATAAACTTCTCTTCATTAAAACCATCCACTTGCGGTATTTCTGTTGTAGCAGCACTAGATGACTAAGACAGATGGCTTTAACAAAGAGAAATTTACCCTCTCACAGTCTGCGAGGCTAGAAGTCTGAGAGGCTAGAAGTCCGAATTCGGGGTGCCAGCTTCCGGGGAAGTCTTTCTCTCTCTCTCTTTCCCTTCTCTGGGGGAAGGTCACTGTCATCAATCTTCCCTGGTCGAGGATTCCCCTGTCTAGGAGCTTCTCAGCACAGGGACCCCGAGTCCAAAGGATGGGCTATTCTGGCTCTGCTTTCCTGGTGGTATGAGGTCCTCATGTCTCTCTGCTTGCTTCTCTCTTTTATATCTCAAAGACATTGCCTTAAAACACAATCTTGTAGATTTAGTCTTGCCTCATTAACATAACAGTTGCTAATCCCACCTCATTAACACCAGAGAGGTAGGATTTACAACAGACGGGAAAATCATATCAGGTGACAATAAGGTGGACAATCACACAATACTGGGCATCGTGGACTAGCCAAGTTGACACACATTTTGCGGGGACACAACTCAGTTCATAACAGCAATGTTCATGGGTGATAAAACTCTAAAGCAAAGCGGGAAAAAGGAAATCATTACTGATTGTCTGGGTAGAGATCGGGAAGGAGATGCAATTGGAGAGGGGCACATGCAGGCTTCTAAGACTTCTAATTTTCTGTTTGTAACTTCAGATGTTCATTTTACTTTCTTTAGCTTGTACATACGTATTTTATGCACTATTTTTCTTATGTATCACAAAAAATATCACAAAAAATTCTAAGATGAAATTAAATATGTGAAAGCATTTGCCCTTTGCTTATTTTAAAGGTGTAAATTTTCTAAGGCGTGTTGGGGTTCCTGGAGAGGTAAAGTCACAGTGTGAATTTACACTGTCACACTTTAGTGCTTAACCAAAATAACAGGAATGGGAGGACTTAAATTATTTAGCACAATTATTTTTAACTGAATATGGTGCTATAATTTTTTTTATTTTAATTTTATTGTGGTAAAATATATATTTTTAAAAGTTTGTCATTTTAAGCCTTTTTAAGTGTACAGTTCAGTAGCATTACTTTCACAATGTTGTGCTGTCATCAGCACTATCCAAGTTTTGCATCATCCTAGACAAAAACTCAGTGCTCCTTCAGCAGTAACCCCTATTCTCTCCTCCTCCCAACCCCTGGTAACCGCTAACAAACTTTCGTCTATATGCATTTGCCTATTCTAGATATTTCATATAAGTGAGATCTTACAA